ACATGCATACTTCAGTCTATATAACAAATTAACTGAATGGTGGCCTACTAATGACCGATGGAGCACTTCAAATGCTAGTGGGTACAGCAAGTCTGCTGAAGGGAGAAGGGAGGGGTAGGAGAAAAGAGGTGCGTCCAATGGGACCAAAACAGCGAGCGTTTTGCTAGTGATGTCCTTCCAGCAATGCTTATGTCTCACACTGAAGTATTTGATAGCCGTACAGCAGAAATGTTGCTGAAAGGTGCATCGATAAGCCCCTTCGTTCCACCCAAGGGTACATCTCGGTCAAGAAGTGTGATTTTCAAAAGCTTGTCTTTTTTCAGAAACTGAAATTCCATGCATGGACCTTTATACCCTGCCTGCCCCTAGTTATTGCAAATAGCGCTTTTATCCCCTGTCCTGCGCGTCGAGTACAAACCACACAACACAACTGGCGACGGTCTTCGTAATCTGATCGGCTAAAAACTGGACTATGTTGCGGAGGCCGTCGTCACTTCTGTTGCATGGTCCGCATTCGAGAAGCATCTGACCGCCGGCGACAAAGGATATATGAAGAAAGGGAGGGCGCATCATTCCATCAACCTCCTGGAGCCCATGTAGCCCATATGCGCGCTGCAGACTGTCAACTAAGTGGGACCTTATGACACATATTTTAGAAAAATGTAATTAATTTTTCGTTCCATTACTATGCAATAAGATTTCTTCTAAATTTCAACACGTTTCTTTTCCCAATTCACTTGATAAGATTCTTAAAAAATTAATTGAAGTCCCAGGCGGCCGCAAAACTCAAAAATGGGCTGTCTCCAACGTGATATTACTCTTCTATTTGTTTGAGCTGTTCCACTGTTTCCTATCAGGATAATGCATTCTGTCACTCAGCACGGCAAAATATTGTCTTCATTGCATTTTCCGATATATACACAACATTAAGCATTTCGTTTTCTAAACTCTAGCGAAAGATCGGAGACTTTCAACAAACAAAACAAAACAATAAAAGGAAAAACCGGATGCTTTACAAAAGTACATGCTCGGTATTATATATGGCAACACGATGACAGATGACTGGTACAATATTTACACTGTACAACAGCAATCAACACACAAATACAGTAGGATAGTGACTTTGAAGAGTATCAGCCAGCAGATCGCTTAGTAGTCGCCGAAATCGCCTCCGCCAAAATCGCCTCCGCCTAAATCGCCACCGCCGAAGTCGTCACCACCGAAATCGCCACCACCCGTAGTCATCTCCTCCATAGTCATAGGCGTCGTTTCCTGAATTTTACTTGGTGTGAAACATCCTTGTAAAGCTGACAATCAACAATTTTAAACTTCTGCCTTCACAGGTAGAATAACACGTGCTAATAGAATTCAACTCCCAAGGAAGTCACTGAAGTAACTTCTTAGAACGCGAGCCAACGGCACTGCGCTATAACCAATACGACCCACTATGATTCAACCTCCACTTACGGACCATTCTATTGACACGGCGGTAAAAAAAGCCCATCCGCCCCCAGGGTCAACCGTCCGTTGGACAAAGTCCAACGCGACGACGAGAGTAATGCCGAGAGTGAACGTACGCACGGAGACACAGACGGCTCGCGGGTGGCGAGAGTGAATGCCGGCGCGGAGAGCGGTGAACATCGGTCCAACGTCGCTCCAATATCGGTCCAACGTAACGGTTGACCCTGTTCTCGACCCAGTTTGAAGTTCGTATGGTATGTTACACGTGTCGACATGGTAGGCATAGCCTCATCATGTGATCCTGGGTTCGTGGCGTTCTGAAAGCATTATTGTTATCGAAAGGCAAAATAGAAAAGTTACAATTGAAACTTGAGGCTGTGAGCCGGTCATAACTAATCTGGCTAATTCATGTGAATTGTTTCTTTGCCGCTATTAGCCAAAGGAGGTCTTCGAATGACTCTTGCCCGAGCGGAACGTCGTACACACGGAACTCCCCGTGATTGATGTAGCCCGTTCAAAAATCCTGCACTGTCGGCAACTAGAATGCACTCGAACGCCGCAAAACGCTTTGTCCCCACCGCTATCACCGCAACCGTTTTACCTAATACGCAGCAACTGCCGTGCTGCTGCGCTGTCTCCCTCACGTGTGCTCTCTATCGCGTAGCAGGACATCTCCGTCTGTGGAAATCGCAAGAAAAAAAGATTGTCATCGTAGTGCTTCCTATAGTTCCTTTTGCTTTTTTTCCTCAAACAGTTCTTCCTCATGTTTCGCATCCGGAACACACTTATATAATCGCGACCCCTGCCATTAAGTTTAAAGTGCTACGTGAACTTCTGGAAGATTACTAATTATCCACCGCATTGATTCCAGAGAATCGGATCCCGCAGACGGTACAATTTGTTGCGAGGTCTACGTTGTGATTTTTTACGCATCCTGTGGGGATTATAGTAAGAGGGACGGGTGGAACGAGATAACAGAGTGATACCCTCGATGAGAACAGCAGAGAAACATGTCCACAAACCAAATCCCTCAGACCGCGGCTGCACATTCATATACCGTCTATGATTGTCCCAGAAAGACCCTGGAAGAAAGCACGCCTAGCTCTACATTCATGACACGTAAACACGTAAATAAGTAAGCTGGTCATCATGGCAGCTTATTTAATTATTTATGCGCCTGAATAGACACCAAACCACAAAGACCAAGTGAACTCTATGAAAGCAAACAATATTGTGGTCCGAGGGGAAGGGCAGTTCCAACAGCAACTACGTAGCAAATTAAAGTTCTAGAAACTTCGAATTGAACAAGATCAACGTAGAAATTCAGCGTAATGGAGGGATTGAGAGTTCTTTAGCACTAGGATGAGTCATAGAACAATCAGTGTTCCTCCCAAACCATGGCTTTAGCATTTACATACACGTATTGGTATAGAATGGCAAGGGTTTCCGTTGGCATGGTGTGAATCTCCAAGTCAAATTTGAGCTCTGAAGACGGGTATTTCTTGAAAGCATCAAACTCTTCAGTTCGAATCCCTACGTAGACCTCCTTTGGCAAAAAAGTAAAGAAAACTTCTCAAATATCAAGATGACACGTTCGACAAAAATCTACATCACGTTCACATGAAACTTCTAATCGAACCAGCAAACTCATGCACACGCAAGCCAAGTATCTCTAACCGCTGCGCCAAAAAACCCGAACGGTTCCATCCTTTGGCCCTTGTTTTGGTAAGCAAACTAAACCCTGCTTCTTAGCAAGCACCTGGAGAAGGGCAAAACCTGGTGCGCTACCAAGATTGAGATGAGAATAAGATTAGAATTGACGTGAAAGGTAAAATAAAAGGTGTCAGACACTTACTGGTGAAGGGGTTAGATGCAAAGTGAACGAGGACCGAAAATCGCTATTTAACTACAAATCGCCTATGGCATGCACTGAAGCGATTCCACACCACGACAGTACCCTCAGGATACTGGTAACATTACCTGATCAGGGTCGGCCTCCTCTACGACGCCATCATCAGCCGGATAATCATTGTCGGCCACGTCATCCTAATCACATAAATAACAGTCAGCAATCATGTGACTTACAGTGAATGTACGGGACATACTTGGCACTGAATGAACCCCACCATCGTGACTGTAGGGGTTAGGCTCGAGGGTCCTATTAATGCTTATGTTAGAGTGAGTTTACCTGGTCCACACCAGCATCCTCTGCGGCGTCGTCATGGGCCGGATAGTCATTGTCGACCACGCCATCCTAATTACACAGTTAAAAGCTGGGAATCACAAGGCCATACGAGGAATTCCT